AGAGACTTTTGGTTGTTTTATGAACAGTTCTTGCTTCCTGACTGCTAGAAAGTTAAACTACACTTTCAGATTTCTCTGCCTCTTCCAAAATTTGAATTGGATTTTCTAAAATAGTTATGTACTTTAAATTCTTCTTCTTCCAAGATATAAATCTTTCACGTGTTAAATTACGTGGTAAATTAATTTGTCTTTCCGATTTAATACCGCGATGGCGGTGGCGCGACACTAGCGCCATGTGACTCTTAACTGCTTGTACACAGTACGTGAGGTTTCAGCTTTCCTCGAATTCGTCAATATTTTAACTTTTTTCTCTTCGTGAATAACATACAGAATTTCGTGTCCAAGCATCTGTAAATTTGATGCTTCTTACCTCCAAAGAGTTAAAGAAAAAAATGTAATTGCAAATAGTGTGATTTAAGTACAGTGCGTGATAAAATTAACGGTACGGCGTAAAATGAAAGTTGTAAGTCATTGTATTTCACATTATTTGACCAAAAAATATATTGTTCAGAGGGACAATAGTTCCTCTAAGGTTCGTTCATAGATTGCTATAAACGTGAACACTATCGAACGACCGTAAATAGAAATAGTGTCACATGTGTGACCTTTACAGTGACCTTTCACACGGATAAGATGAAACTAGATCTAAATATACTGCACGTGCATGTAATGCAATTTCTAGGTAATGTACGTGTTCCACTAGTATTGTAGAACTGTTCTCTATTTGACGTGTAAATTTAAGCGGTATACTTTTCGTATCGCGTAAGACATCAAGGTATAAATGTTCCTGTGTGTTCCTTATACTGGTTAGATAATGCTTCTAGGTGTAGGACAAATATTAGAATCTTCGTGAAACTTTCGTGAGTAGATCGTTCGGTAAATAGCTCTCTGACAAACTAAAATTCATCGCGAAGCAGAGGCGAAGTAAAATTATATAAAATATTATTTATATAATATTATATTACTATTATGTAATACCATTATTATTATATTTATTATTATTATAATATAATAATAATAATAATAATAGTAGTAGTATAGTATTAGGTAATATAATAATAATAATAGTACAGTATTAAATATTATATTAATACTATACTATTATTATTATTATTATTATTATTATTATATTACCATCATATTATATAATACTGTTATTATTATATAATATTATATTACTAATATAATATAAAATATTAATTATTTATTTTATTAAGAATATTATTAAATATATATATTATACGTATCTTTCTATATTTTTCGAATATATATATATATATTGTTTTGATTCATTGTTTTATACACTAAAGCTTAAAACGGAAATTTTAAACGCATGACAAGTGGCATTCCCACGAAATTGCACTCTGAAACGTGCTGCTACACAAACGTCCAAAATTGTAACATCTGTCTTCTTCTATTCGCACATTTTCGTACATTCTTTTCTGTACTGAAAACAACGGGAATGGTCAAAATTTGAAAATCACTGTATAATTAAAAAAATATCCTATTGTAATCTACATTTGAAAAAAATCATTCCACGTGAATCGAGATACAAGCGTTTAGTCGGGCCGTGGATCGATCCTTAACATAAATATAACTATCGCGCCAGTAGTTCAGTTCAAATATAATCCGCGTCTGATTAAATCAGGCAACTGTTTACGTAAGGTATGTTTCGTGAATGAATCCCAACAGATGTTGCAAGGTGATGTAGTTCAATTTATCTGGTCTGTGTTAACCGGGAGATGCATGACACGTCGACAGAATGGCTGTGAATTCTACCTCGAATCTAACTGATTTTGTACACGCCCGAAAAACGTGTGGATAAACGTGCAAATGCGCGGAGGAAATAGGGAGAGGACGTGTGCAAATGTGAATGAAAAATATGCAAATACACGAAGAAGAAAAATGATATGCAAATACACGTTTGCTTTACATTAACATTCACGCTCTAATGATTTCCTAGACATTTCTAAAGCTTCTCAACGCCTGTTCCAATCGTTCTAAAATTCCAACATGATGAACAGACATGCTGCAAAGTCACGCGGCATGATTCTTCGTCTACCTGATCATTACATTTATTTCCTTCGTCCGATATCTGTTTGGCCAATGCCTATCAATTGAAAATGAAGCGACTCGTTTGAGCAGTATCATTTGCTGCAACGATTTGGGAGCGTTTAGGGCCGCTCTGCTTTAATCTGGGACCGCTTCATAGGCCGACAACATCGATTCTTAGCCGGGATTCGCATGCTTATTTGAACTTGCCTTCCCAGCCACCGCGATACATTTCCGTTTCCACGACAACAATAACAGGGAGACTGTTAACAGGGAGCGAATGAGAACCAGGGAACCCCCGACACTCGACCCACTTCTCCGCGTTTTCATTGCACTCGATAATGCTCGTCACATGTTACCACCGCAAATTGCGCGACAAACCCCCATTACAATCGTCTTTTTCCATTCTCCCTTCGCCATTCTGCCCAGCCACTGATCAAGTATTTACCATTAGCAATCGAGTTGCTATTTTAGAGATTTTCGTTGGTGAATTCATCCGTGGATAAAAAAAAGTCGACATAAGATAAATTTCTTTTTATTTGGAAGCACAAAGGACCTTCGTTCGTTTATCTATCTATCAGTGGATCGATATTCGGCATCGATTTACCGACTTATGTTGCGTGGATTAGAATCTGAGAGGCTTACAAATGGTTCCTTTTCTGAAGCATGAAGAATTTTCCAATCACACTCGCAATATATATTTTTATCTTCTATTCTTTCCTAAAGTATTATTCGCGAATCTTTTCTTTTTAATTTCGTTTTACACGTTGTCGATACTTTTCGCGAAGATTCTCATCTTATTCTCCTCTTCCAGGAACTTCGTAAACTTCCCCCTCTCGAAATATTAATTAATGAATGTTCTATGGAATTTCCTAAGTGTCATCAGGTTTGCTTGGCAACCTGTCTCCAGCAGCTTTAATACTGAAGTAGCTAGACGTAAGATTTCAGGAACTTTCAACCACAGAAGACAGTCGTGGACAGTCTAGTCCTGTTAGAAAAATCTGAGATACACAATAAAAAAATCTTCAGAGCCTTTAACGAAGCCATATCATTTCCGGGAGAAGGAAATCCCAGAATACTTACAAGAATGCCAACTTGAATTACAATGAAGAGGAAGAACCAATCAGCCAGACAGTTATAAATCATGTAACAATTTCGATTAAAATTACTCGGGGATGTCCCTTGAAGTTCTTTGCCCCCCTTGAGGTATGCGAACGGAGCGCCATCTATCTGGGAATCTTCTCAGAATTGAATATCAATTTAACCGAGGAACTTGGATCGTCCCTTTCGATTAAAACACGACCGGGAACCGTTCCAAGGAATTCCTGACTGGCGATGCGGTTCGCGAGACATTCTTTCGCGAACTTGCTGCTGTGCAAACGCGGCTTTAATCGACCAGGAATCTCAAAGTTTCCTTCCAGCGAGCTGGACTAATTAGTCAATAATATCAAAAAGCATTCAACTTTGCCAAGGCTTGGCAAACAATGTTAATTGCCTTTGAAATAATGACGAATCTTCGCGAGCGAGATCCTTTTAATACTTAAGTCGAGGTGGGGCTTGTTGAACTTTTGTTCAATTTGTTGACAAAAGATGACAACTGCAGGTCGCTGAGGTCTGTCGCGGTTGTTTACAAATTGATTAATTTAATCAACTTCTTTACTAATAAACAACAATCACTTTTTGATTTATGATCAACCATTTGCATCGACGCATATTCATGATAATTTATTAATTTATTAATTATTCATATTAATTATCGATGCGTTGGTTCGCTCGTTTCTCTTTTTATGCTAATAATATATTATCACGTGATTTTTAGAAATTTTATACACCGAGTTTTGTTAACGTGTATTTCAACGTTAAATTGTTCTCTGGAACACTTCTTTGGAATTTTTAGTATTTTTCTTCTCGTCCTATTTTCGTTGAACATTTTAGTAGAAAAGGCATTGAAGTCATTAAGAATAATCTAAATTGTTCTCCTGCAATTTTCTTCTACTTTTACTAATCCCTTTGTGCGAAATATCTTCTATTTGCTTCTCTTCGCGTTCAGTGACTCATTGGGAACAGAGCTGAAGTTGTTAAGAGTATACTGAATTATTCTACTGGAATTTGCTTCCATTTCTAACCGTCCCTTTCAACGAGCTTCCCGCGCAGAACGCTTTCTATTTTTCTTCCCACATTCAGTCTCTCATTAAAAACCTGGCTTAACCTCTTGAAGGGCACTGACACATATCGCGCCCAACAATATGACTTTTTAACTTTCCTTTCACTCGAGTATTACGTTAAACGTCTCATCGTGAGGTATAGATATCGATCTTGTAAAGTCCAATTTCACTTTCCAAAATCTACTTTTATGTTTGAAACGTATTTATATTTCATTTCTCTTTATTCAATTATTAAATTGATGCTCTATTTAGTTATTTATTGCCGAACACTCTCCATCATTTTCTGGAGCTTGTAGTTAATCATAAAAATTCAAACTTCAAAATTCAAGATACTGAAGATATTGTAAAAATCATACCGTCTGACTTATCGCTGACTCACACCACTACGTTGTGACTTGTCTCACGGAAATCAAACAGATTCCAGTTATTATTTCCTCTTGGAATTTCCAAAATTTAGTCATCAATGCGACAACTAAAAAAACAGTATATTAATATCAGTACTGATCTCGTGCAGTTTCTTGTAATTTCTCACTTCTTCTTACTGCTGAATTCCCACCCAGTCCAACTTCAATTTCAAAAACCTATTTCCTTCAAATCCCCATACATATAAATTCTAATTATGTCACTCGATATTCGTCTCACTTAGTTTTTATCTGCCAATATCCTACCTTTACATCTGCACACATATACATACGTACACGCATACACTGTACACGTATACCTGCCGTGGGTAACAAGCAATTTAAATGTGCATTCATCAAACGAAGACATGTGTGTACTTACTAGTCGTATCGAATCCATCTTCGAACGGGCATTTCTGCTTGGTTGTCGTAGATGCTTTGGTTGGAGGCCAACAGAGTAACGAGTCCCAGACTGGCTCACACCATAGCTCTGTGAAAGGAAATGAAAAGGGATACGTGAACGCGTCACTGTCGCCACACCATGCTCCCTCTCCGTGCCTCAACTACATACACGTACACTGTTTGTTCTATGTAATTCTGAAATTGACTGGCGCAAGTGATAGATCGAGTTGGAGTTTCTCTTTCGTTTCTTACACGGAGCTCCGGACGAGCTGCAAATTTATCGGAGGAAACAGATGTCTCCATATTTCACGGTGGATCGATTTCTACGTCGCTGAGAATTTCTAATTTGCAGTATTAGTTACTAGTGTCTTACTAGCTTTCAGTCTGGATTTTATATATCAGGTAACAGGATGTTCGATTCGAAAATTTTATAATCACATTACTGGAATTTTTCAAGTTAATTTTTCAACGACAAAGAGATTCGCAATAAGAATTAAGAACATCTTTCAAACAACCCAATATTACGTGTAACCGAGTATATAATTGTTTATATACTTTTGTGATATTAAACAAATTAGACTGCGGATTTTTATAAATTTACAAGAACTTTCCAAGTAAAAAAAAATTAAAAAATTACAATCATGAGGGAATAACATAAAATATCCAAGATGTAGTGTCTTTTATAACATCTAGCACATGAAATAATCTTTTCATCTTTTCAAGTTTCATATTTTAATTATATTTTTCTGTATCAATGATTTAAATGGACCTTTATTTCTACAATTTTCTCTCCTAGCTGTATTTGTCTAAAAATTCGCAGTCTGCCGACAGTAATACACAGAAACGCGGCTGCTCACCATCGTCAGGAGGTACAAAGTTCTTATATCTGCCCCTGCAGAAATCCCGCGTGTTGTTGCCAATGGCATTAGCATCCATGTTTCCTCTAATTATCCATTTTCATCTCCTTTTGTCTCTACCATCCTCTCTACCCATGCAAACTCAACGAACGTGGCCGGATAATATCGAACAGATATATTCTGTCCCGTGTTTCCTCATCTCTTCCCGCCAGATGGCTTCTTCTCCCAACGCGAGAAACCAAGTTGAATTCGCTGCTCAATCGAATATCCCCGCGAGCGAGCACCTCTGTTTCTTCCCCGCCGACGAATTCTGGACGACTGAATCTTTTATTTCGCGCGGAGGAACCGGGAACAAAGGCGAGAGGAATTTCCTTCTCCGAGTCGATGCACGTTCGAGTTCGCCTCTCTCTGTAGCTTGGATTCACGCTATTCGCGGCCCCAGTCGCGTTATGTTCGTCATTGTTACATTCTCTTGGTAATCGCTTCTTCGTCGTCTTCTTCTTTTTTTTTTTTTTTGCTTTACAATACAGGTGACAAAGAAGAGTACAGCAATGGTTGGAGTATGCTTGACGATGTTGATTGGTTGTGTTCTTTGTCCTGAAGATGAAGATTGTATGTTCATTTAAATTCTGTGTGTTGGTGATGTTCGACGATGTTTCAAGATATCGATTCCACACGTTTTTCTGTATTGGTAAAGATTTAAATGCATCTGCTTCTGTACTTCGTTCTGAAAGTTGACGACTATTTCTTTAAATACGTTTGATCAGTCGATGTTTGAATTTCGATTTCTTCCCGGGTACTTTCATTCAAGTTCCATGGCGTTCTTGTGAAATGATGGCGAACTGTTTCGAGCTGTGTGCGGCAATTGGACTTGCGTGCTGGTCTACAAAGTGTTTTCTTCGTCGACGGCCTCCACCTTCGAAAGAAAAGAGAAGGATCGTTAGTGAAAGAAGGCGACAATACCCTTCAATTAAAGAGGATATCCTAACGAATTACGCCTCTAAATGAACAAAGGTGGAGCAATAAGAAGAAAAGATTCTTGTCTTCGGTGCTTTAAGAAGAGCGTATCGTTGACCAGCCACCAATTACTACCAAAACACACGGTCACCAATAAATTCTATTCCTCGCAATTAATTAATTCGTCGACAACTGATAACCCAATCCCGATTTCTAGTATCTCAATTATTCTAGTAACGATCGATAGTTCAATTCTAATTGCTGGGAATTCACTCAGTGAAGCTCGCGAGTTCCGAAATAAAAATTTCTCACGAACAGAATTAAACGAAACGATGGATTAAATTATGCGCATCCCTCGTCTAAGACGAGAAGAGCTCATATCCACCCTAGTCTGAGGGGCGAGCAAATGAAAGAACGATTCCGGTCTTTGGTCATTATACCAAGCGGACGTGGAGCGTGAAACGGACGGGAACGGGTCGCTTTCAGGCCAAGGGGCAAGTCACCGAGTCGTTAGCGCGCAATCCGGAAACCGGGGGCCTGCGGTCTTGGGGAGATCCTCGGGAGATCCAAGCAGCCGTGGCTAATTTCCAGCCTCCTTCAGAAGCCACGGTACGCTCTTTTTTTCTTTTTTTTTTTTTTTTTTTTTTTTTACTTTGCTACCCTCTTTCCGACCCGTTGTTTTCCTTTTCGGGGAATTAATGGATTAGAGCGGAAGGAATTCCCCTCTCGCTTCGCGGGAGGGAAACCGGGCCGAGAATTTTTCTCCGAGAAATCCGTGGCCCTGTTTCCGTTTCGCAGCGTCGGAGGATGCTTTTTTTTTTTTTATATGGGGGGTTTAACGTCGCATCGACTACGAGGTCTTTAGCGACGTGTTGAAATTGTCTCTTTACAACTGGTTTAGTAGTTGGGTCTCCTTTAGGTAATTGATAATGGTTTTTTGTTGTTTCTGGCAGGTTAGAGCGGTGTTTTCGTTTAATCCGTATTTACTTCTTGTGTTTCGGTATTTTCTTCATGTAGCAGGTGCCGGGTGATGATTTGTTGGTTGCAGGTGTTGCAGATAGGTGGATCTGTTTTGCTTAGGAGGAAAGGATGCTTCTTTAATCCTCTTGCGCTGGCAATTGGCTCGCGGACCATAACGAGTGACCGAGCCGTATACAACAATTCGTCGATTTCTTTCCCGATTTGAACTCATCGGTACGATATCGCTGGATAAGAAATGATCAAGAAGTAGTAAACATACTAGAAGTAGATTTAAACATACTCGTAAACGAGAAAATACATGGAATTTGGGAGAGAAAGCGCAAGAGGTGAAAGTGAACGCCTTCGTTTCTGGATCTATTCGGATGTTTACATTGTTGTTCAATGTATCTCGTCAATTTCAGTGATTTCTATTAACACTGAAATAAATAATAAGCTTTCGGTCGAGCTCACATTTTTTCTGGTTTACAATTTTTTCCATTGATTTATTGCCAACAAATAAACAACACGCGCAGTAATGAATAAATACGAATTCAATCAGATAGTATATCGTTTGATTAGACTTTGATCGCGGATGTACAGTATAACGGATTAAAATGATCGATTAACGGAAAAGTGGACGGGACGGAGAATTCTGTTTAATGAGGGATGGTCCTAATGATAAATTTCATTCGCTTGATTTTGCATGTGATATAAAAAAGCGGGGAATCGAGTTTAATTAATTTCGAAAGCCTCGAAATAGATTTAATCGATTGCGAAGAGAACGCAACGTGTATTTAATTAGCGCAGGGAATTATTTTCAATATAAACGTACATACGTGCATCCAAAATCCTGTCGATTGGTCTTGCGGGATTGTGCACTATGATTATGACGTACAATCGAATAATTAACGAGGCAGAACAATTTTGTATCGTCGTTCTATCTCTTACGAAACGCTATGATTAATAATTATAAATATGTAAAGTGAAACGAAATGAAAATATAAATTTATGTAATGCGTAAATATAAATATATAAAATGTATCATTAATTCATCGATCGTAGAGATCAGTCCAATTATTTCAGGACAAAATGCACAGAATGAAACGTAACGTCGACCTATCTCTTAGAAATAAGAGAAAGAACGAATATCGAGCGTATCTCCGGTGAAACAAGTTTCCGAGTCTGTTGAGAATCCTGTTTGTATGTATTCAGAGATTCCAGCAGACTAAAAGTTTGTTCATAAAAATTTCCACTACCCTTTACACTTTTCTATACACCGTATTTTATATATATATATATATTTTTATATACTGTATATCTATATATGTATATTGAATTCTGATACTGAATTTCACTGTGAGAAGTTTAAAATTGAAGTAGTTCTTCGAATTAACTGTTTATTAACTGTGAATCTCAAGGAAATCTCTTTTCTTCAGTCATTTACCTACAGAAAAAAAAGCATCTAATCTATGATTTGCAAATTGAATTGTTACTGAACCGAGGGACATCATTCTTGAAAACATTCCAAATATAATATATTGACAATGGCAATTAACAATTGATAAATCAAAAGTCAACCAATTCCAAAAACCTGATCTAATCTTCCTGCAAGATCATGTAACTTAAAATTTAGTCTACTTTAATGTTTCAAACAAACGTTAACCCAAGCGTTGATTGACTCGTGTTAAAATTAATCAAATTCACAACGAGCGTGCAAGATTTTTACAATAATCCAAGTGAAGGAAACATTCTAAAGAAATCGAACTGGCCTAACATCAAATCTACCAAAGAATCAATTCAAATGGGACGTATTGATCATCTAAATATACATTGATATTAACGTGTATCAGTACATTAATGTACAATGATATTAAGAGGTAACACGCCACGCACGTCCAGAATGTTTTCTCCCAAAATTGCAATATTCCCTCAGTTTTAATTATATTTAGGTATAACTCAGGCAAAACAAATAATAAATTTATACAAATAATAACAATTTAAATTATAAATATATGTATATCACATATATTATAATAGTTTATCAGTAATATCATACCAACTAATATAATAAAATTTAAAAAAAAAGAAAAATATTTTAGTTGGTATGATATTACTAATTTAAATATATAATAAATATAAAATATATATTTATAATTTAATAAATTTATACAAATAATAACAATGTATATCACATATATTATAATAGTTTATCAGTAATATCATACCAACAAGTAGCGACGAAAAAGAAAGCGACGAACTAATGTACGGTTTGGTCACTCGTTACGGTCCGCAATCCAGTTGCCAGCGCAAGCGATTAAAGCCTCGTTCCCACGATCAGTTAAAGCGGAGACATTCTTCAGTCAACGTTGAAAAACCCATCGTTATCAGTCAAAGAGGCCGTTCCCCTATCGGCGGTAACATCATAACGTCGTTCCCCTCCTTCGATCGTATCACTTTCGTAGCGAAAACAGAGGGGACTCGAAATGCAGTTTCAGCCGTCAAGATCGTCTGGCATCCTCATTTTCGTCAGGAATCGATCCGCTAGACCCTCATTAACATGTGAAAGAGGTCACCCGAGCAAGTATTGCAGACTGATCGCAACTGACAATCACCTTCAGTCGTTCGGTGATCACCGGTTGTGAAGTTCATGTGGGAAGTTTCGCGGGACAAGAGACTTCTCTTGAGAAGAGGAGCTCGGAGAAATTGGAAATCGATCAACCGAGGGGAAGGTACGGTGAACAGACAGGAAATTGCGTATATATCGAGATTTTCCCGTCGGTCAACACCTTTGGAAACTAGAGAATCGAAAAAATAACGGGCTTGACAACGTTGGAACGCTCGGGAGAGACATTTGGGTCACTATTTCACTTCTTGATAGAATTAACTGGAGAATAGTATGTTGAGTATAGATATGTTTCTTTAGAGTTGTTGATGAAGTGGGGAATGCTGCACGAAGCAGGAATTCTAATTTTTATAACATATAGATATTTATATAAGGATGTTATAATCTTTGGTATCTGGAAAACTAATTTCTAAATAATTAATCTTTATGAATAATCTTTATATTAAGGATATCTATATAAGGATATTATAATCTTTAGTATCTGAGAAATTAATTTCTAAATAATTAACTATTTGTGACTACTCATTTCTGAACTCTAATTTAGGAAAGTCCTCTAAAGAACTCTAATTTAAGAGTATAAGAAAGTCCCCTAAAGAACTCTAATTTAAAAAGTTAAGAAAGACTTCTAAAGAACTCTAATTTAAGAGTCTAAGAAATTCCTCCAAGGAACTCTAATTTAAAAATTTAAGAAGGCCCTCTAAAGAACTCTAATTTAAGAATTTAAGAAAGTCCTCTAAAGAACTCTAATTTAGGAAAGTGTATAAATGAGCTCTGAATAAATAAAACTAAACATTCCTCAGAATGAGAATCAACTGAGTATCCAGAACTAATTTACAAACAACAGAAAAGACGAATCCTTTGTTCCTGAACCTTAAGCCACACATATTATAATTGTGATTGTAAAATACCCTCCCATTATGAAAAACCAATAGAGCAATTGCTGGAGTACACTAAGAAAGAGGAAAAAGAAGAGAGAAGAAAACTAGATTTTGTGATTTACTTCCTAAAGGAATAACGAAAAATAGAGGGAAGAAAAAGGCACTGGATGGCTGGATCATGGCCAGAAAATCGAGATCCAGAGCGTGTACCATGCATCCCTGGCTGGTGCACGTGCATGAATAGAGTCTGATTCGGAAACGTCATGTTCTGCTGACAAGATTCTTGTCCCTCCGTTAATCGTTCACCCCACTTTGAAATGGCCCAAGAGAAATCGAATGAGATCCGCAGGAGAGATCGAAAAACTTGAAGAGGCAATGAATGGAAGTTATTGAATGGAAGAGTGGAATTTCAAGTTCTCTTTACTTCTTGACATTCAAGTCGTTTCGAATCGTCGAAATTCCAAGCTATTTAATTACGAGGTCTTCCGACTCCTTTAA